GGTTCTTACCCAACAGGGCATCTGAAAGACTGTTTTATGAATCCATACTGTTTCCTAAACCATCCCCATAGGCACTAGGGATGGTCAGGGTGCCATTTTGTTATGTGTGAGTTTGTATGTATAGTTTGAAGAAGCTTTCTAAACTATTCTGATAGACTTCTCTTTTCACCAGCTACAGTCCTAGAAGAGAACTCCTGCTATATATGGGTCAATGTCACCCTTCAGGAGAAGCACCTCTCTCACTACAAGATAAACACCCTTATAGCTATTATACAGGGAACTTATACATGCTGACATAGACAATGAAGCCCTGAATGGGACAGGTGAATTTTCTATAGAATATTTTTTCCTATTGAGCAAGGATACCCTAACTCATTGACCCTTAACCATAAGTATAAGTCAGCATCAATGAGGAGCCTTAAAAAAATCAGATGCTTATTTCATCCCCAGAGATATGAATTCAATTGGTCTGGTCTTGGTCCAGGAATTGGCATTTATTTAAAAAAGTTTCTCAGATATTTCTAATAGGTAATCAGAACTAAGAAACATTCCCCAAACTGCTCATAATTAAATGGAAAAACTAAATCTGTGTCATTTGGGAATTTTGTTTGTATATTATGAAGGGTGGGATCTAAGCTCACTTAGAATTTTTGCCAAAAAAATGGTAGAAATGAACTAAAGATATTAAATGAACTCCTTGTAGTACAGCAGATTATTAGGGGCTTAAATGTATAGATCTGTTGTCTACAAATTGTAATAAACAAGATATTTGGTGAACAGAAAAGAAACAAATAAAATATCCTGAATGAAAAACATTGAGAGTTCAAGAAAGGGTTGGAAAAGTACATAGAAAAGTAGACAAAAAGTGCTGGAGAAGGTGTGGAAAAAAGGGAACCCTCCTACACTGTTGGTGGGAATGTAGGTTGGTGCAGCCATTTATGGAAAACAGCATGGAGATTCCTTAAAAAACTAAAAATAGACTTACCATATGATCCAGCAATCTCACTGCTGGGCATATGTCTGGAGGGAATTCTTAGTTCGAAAAGATACATGCACCCCAATGTTCACAGCAGCACTATTTACAGTAGCAAAGACATAGAAACAACCTAAATATCCATAGACAGATGACTGGATAAAGAAGTTGTGGTATATTTATATAATGGACTACTCAGCCATAAAAAAGAATAATATAATGCCATTTGCAGCAACATGGATGGAACTGGAGACTGTCATTCTAAGTGGAGTAAGCTAGAAAGAGAAAGAAAATGACCAATTTATATCACTTATATGTGGAATCTAAAAAAAAAAAAGAAGAAGAAACAAATGAACTTATTTACAAAACAGAAACAGACTCACAGATATAGAAAACAAATTTATGGTTACTAGGGAGGAAAGAGGATGGGAAGGGACAAATTGGGAGTTCAAGATTTGCAGATACTAACTACTATATATAAAATAAACAACAAGTTTCTTCTGTATAATACAGGGGACTCTATTCAATATCTATAGTAACCTATAATGAAAATGCATATGAAAAGGAATATATATGTACATATATGAATGACTGAAATATTATGCTGTACACCAAAAATTGACACAACATTGTAAACTAACGATACGTCAATTAAAAAAAAAGAAAAGTAGATCAAGAATACATAGGGAAGGAACTAAAATGGAAAAGAGAATAACAAAACAAAACAGGGGGTAGACAGGAAGAAGAAAGGATGCACAACTTAAAATGTTAGTCAATTTTTTATTAATTTTTACAATTTTCCACTACTCTATCCAATACCATATCTAGGTGTTTGGCCAATATTAAAACTAGATATCCAGTATACTCTTCTTAATTATTTTCCATTCCATGAAAAAAATTTAAAGATGAATTATCATATTTAATGTGTATTTTTACATTTTTTTCTGATAGACCATTTTACATGATAGAAATTTACCTTTAAATGGCATTTCAAAGATAGAAACAAAGACGGAACAATTAAATACAAAAACAAAAGCAAAACCTTTATTCTTTTGGCTTGATTGTAATGTGATTTACCGTTCTTTATGGTAATAGCATTTTCCTGCATGCATTTCACCAACACACTACAAGTCAATAGCTTCAGTATAAAGAATCTACATTTAATGTTGCCTGTGAAAGAAACACAAAATGTTTAGCTGTAACTGGTAATATAATTTCACTTATATAATTTTTGTGGAAAAAGCTTAGATCCCATATCATATCTGATAAAGTTCTAATGCCTTATGGGTTGGTAAAGATATGATCTATCTGTGTAAACAAACACTGGAAAAGACTGATGATTTACTGAGTAAAAAGACTAGGTGGAAACATCTGGTTCAAGCAATGTCAAGAATATCAGCTGATCTTTTCTTAAGCCTCTTTCGATGATAAGGCATCACTATTTGAAAGCAAATAAATGCTGGACTCAGTCTGAGATTTGTTTCACATTGAAATGTGTGCAAAGTTTACAGTACTAATAAAAAAGCAGGAATCTACACTGCATGTTAGTCTTTCTTATTTTGTGAAGTGCTTTAATTTAAAAGTGCTAGGAACAGAAACTAACAATAGTGACTGTGACATCAACCTGAAGATACTTTTAATTTCTCATTTTATGTACAAAAGGCTGAAAAATAAAATAAAATGAACTTTGTACAGTATTTATATTTTCTTAGAAAAACTCTAACCGTATGTTTTCAACAGAATTTAGCAGCTTGCAACATGTTTATACATTGGGCTTTTTACCATAGAGTATTCAATTAAGATTGGAAGGATAAAAAGCAAGAAGCTCTTCATTGTTTGCTGCAACCTATTGCTTAAATGACATGAAGAATGAGGTCTTGGTTGAACAACTTGCTTCACTTTACCACTGACATATGGCTTCCCATATTTGACTTCTGAACAGTGGAAGGAATAAGATGCAGCAGCAGAGGCAAGATAAACATGCAGCAGTGACAGCTTCAAACTATAATGGAACCAATTACATCATATTACCTGTTGAAAGCTTGCAAACTATACTTACTGTGGTACATATTTGATGCAATAAATACTGTGCTTAAGTCGTCATTTTTGTTTGCTCAAACATGCACCACTGGGTAAAATTACTATTTACAAAGCAGACTTTTATTTTTTTTAATTGACATAATACTATGTCAACGTTACCAAGAGCAGAAGATGGCTAAACAATACTGCAGGAAAAAGCAGAATCAACTTTATAAAGTGGTGGTAGGGGATGCTTTTTGGTCAGTTCAGGTTCTTAGAAAGGACTGATAGGATACTTTTACTTTATGCCAAAGGACACTTATCAAAAATGTTATAGTCATGCTGTCAGGACTCTGAACGACTATGTAATGGTATGTGTGTCTGTGTGTGCACGTGCATGTGTGTGTATACACATATATGTATATGTGCCTGTATATACATATGTATATACATATATACATGTACATATAATGGATTATGTAAAAATAAAACAACTTTTTAATGCTTGTGAATTCTATGGAACATTTACAGGCACAGTAAAATTTTTCTGGATGACACCTTAAAAACATGAATAGCTATTTAAGCACCTCAAAAATCTAAAAACATCCTGACATAAGAAGTAAACTCTTTCCGTTTGTGATGTGATTTTTTTCGTGTGAGAATGAGAAGTGCAGCATGCCTTCATTTAAAATATACCCAGTTATACGACAGAAACATAGAATTTCCTACCTTTACTCCCTCTCCCCAAACATAAATCCATTTACAAAAATAGTCACATATAATAGTAAACAACCTGTGAATTAAAAAAAAAGTGATAAATTCACAGCATACATTTTGTAAAAATATGGCAGATGTGGCAGTTAAAACATAAACAGTGGTGACAGTTAGTGTTATCAAGTGTCACGTGTTGAATTTACATAAAAATCTAACTTCCCTCCCCCCTTTAAACTGGTTCCTATCATCTGAGTAGCCATAACTCTCTGCTCTTCAGCAGCGTCAGCTGGTTGTGAACACAGAAACCTCCTGTTGATGCTGTTTCTCTGGTTTGTTGAGTCCCAGTTTGCTGACCAGAGGTCCCTGTCTTGTTATAGGCACTGACCTTATGTATACATTTGTAAAAACAGTCAGTTTGGCATAGACCTCCTGTGGGAGTCCTGTTGACACAAACACATCACCATCACAGGCTGTAAACAATTGATCACAAAATGGAATTTTCTTTTCTTTTCTTTTCTTTTCTTTTCTTTTCCTTTTCTTTCTTTCTTTCTTTCTTTCTTTCTTTCTTTCTTTCTTTCTTTCTTTCTTTCTTTCTTTCTTTCTTTCTTTCTTTCTTTCTTCCTTCTTTCTTTCTTCTTTCTTTCTTTCTTTCTTTCTTTCTTTCTTTCTTTCTTTCTTTCTTTCTTTCTTTCTTTCTTTCTTTCTTTCTTTCTTTCTTTCTTTCTTTCTTTCTTTCTCTTTCTTTCTTTCTTTCCTTCCTTCTTCCTTCCTTCCTTTCTTCTTATCTTTCTTTCTTTCCTTCCTCCTTCCTTCCTCTTTCTTTCTTTCTTCCTTCCTTCCTTCCTTCTTTCCTTTCTTTCTTCTTTGTTTCTTTCTTTCTTTGTTTCTTTCTTTCTTTCTTTCTTTCTCTTTCTTTCTTTCTTTCCTTCCTTCTTCCTTCCTTCCTTTCTTCTTATCTTTCTTTCTTTCCTTCCTCCTTCCTTCCTCTTTCTTTCTTTCTTTCTTCCTTCCTTCCTTCCTTCCTTTCTTTCTTCCTTCCTTTCTTTCTTTTCTTCCTTCCTTCCTTCCATCCTTCTTCCTTCCTTCCTTCCCTTCCTTCTTCCTTCCTTCCTTCCTTTCCTTCTCACTCTAAGTAAAATAAAG